ATACTCTGTGTTCACATTGTCACACAACATAAACAGTAAATTATATAATTGTTTGATAACTTTTCCACAGTTAGCCTTAATAAATTGTACAGACAAGAGTGTGTCCTTTACACCAGTGGGTCTCAACTGGTTTCACCATGGTCATTAAGTTGCTCACTCACACACACTAGAATTCAGTGCAAATGTATTTTTCAAATAGGCTAGTAAACACACCTTTTTTAACATAAAGTATAAACATATTTGCATCCCTTCATTCAGGGAGGCTGCTGTTATTTCAGAATGCCTTGCATACTTCACACGCATCAACACATAAACACAAACTGTTCAGACTGGCATAACACACACACACACACACACAGAGCAGTCATATGGCTAGTCAACACACACATATACAGTGTCAACTTCATCCCTGCAATCAGAGCACATTACTCTGATCATTCATTGATTATAATCATTACAACTGTGTGCTGCTGATTCTTATGAATAAAATTACCATCATAACTCTGTTTACACAATAAATAAGTAAGGCCTACAAAACAGGCTGGTTTCACTTAACAGACAATTATGGAAGCTTTTCTATCAAAATAAAAGTCAGACATCAGATAGCTAGGCATTTAAAATAGATTTGTTTTGACCACACACTCTGAGACCAGTTAAGAAAGCGTGCTCTTCACAAATGCTGACTGCCAGTAACTGCGAACACTGAGCAATACCTTGAAAGCACTTTGGTGTTTTCCTTAGGAATCTCTGACATCTGCAAAGCCCTCAGTACCAATCTGAAGACAAAAGCACAGTCTATACTCACAACCAGGCTGTGAGACAGCACCAACTAGAGGCTGATACACTGTCACATAAGTAACCTGTTCCAAACACACACACACTCATACACAAATAGGAAAGAAACATATCACATAGCAAAATATCAAAAAAACCCATACACACTTACACACACATACATAGACACAGTATGTGATCAGTTATAGGGGATTAAAAGAATAAACCGGGATCTGCTGTACGTACAAATGCTGTAAAACAGAATTCAGATCTGCACACACAAACCTACACCTGCATCTCTCACAGTAGACCAGTAAACCAGTGCACACCAACACATCCTCTGGAGGCTAACGTACATCTTATGACACTCATGGAACAAAGTGGGTGGTGGGGGGAAAAGGGTGGATGGAAATCTTCCTAAAGTGAAATACATTTCTGGCAAACGCTTGGGTAAGATTAGATAAGATTGGAGACATTGATTTACCGTGTCGGTTTCTCCCTGGCAGCCGTTATCTGACCACTGCCTGGCTGATTTATACCCCGGGACGTACTGGTATCAATTAGAGGAAACCTAAAGGAGTCAT